TACTACTAAATACTACTTACTACTACTACTGCTACTACTACTACTACTACTACTACTACTACTACGACTACTTTTCCTTCTGTACTCCAGTATGTTTCAATTCGCGCGTGACCCAACGCAGCGCGATTGCATCGCCTCGGCGCGCTGACTTGCGACTTGCGGGCAACAAACATCACCTTCCGCATGAAGCTTAGACAAGTCTGCTTCCTCGAAGTCTTCTTGTTGCGGGCACTGAGAGTGATGATGCCGCCAGCATTTTGGCCGTGCCGTTGCGTAAAGCCTGGAAGCTCGAGCTGCGAATGCGTGCAAATTGAAATTCCGCAACGGCTTCACACAAGGAAACCACTGAAATATAAATTTTCCGGTAGCTTGAAGCAAGGCAGGCACCTGCAAGTGGGAATTACCCAATAGCTTAGCTTAACGCAAAACAAAACCCGGCAAATCGGGAATCCGAAATAACTTGAGACGAATTAAAAGATCCTGCGAATTTGACTTCCGCATTGGGGTAAAGGCTCGACCCCAAACAGAAATCCGCTTATTGTAATTCCGATTTTGCCAGTTGTAATTCCCCAATATGTTGTTCCAAAACAGGACTCTGCAAATTCACCAATAGCACGACCCAAAAGAACAGGTTTCACCTCGTCATTCCGCAAAATTTGACCCATCAGGACCTTCCCGAATAGCTTTTCGCGAACTGGATCCTGCAACTTGTCATTCCCAATGGCTTGCCGCCAACAACAAATGCTGTAGTTCACGCACGGGGGATACGATTGCGTCTCAATTTGTTCTTGATTTTTTGTTGCTTCACCCCTAGCATGACGAAAAACGTGTTTTTTCCTTGCCGTTGCTCTCAACATTACATGTCCCTAGGTGCTTGAGGGCCAATGGCTTTGTGGAGCACATCACGGGCGCGCTCTGTTGCGAAGCAAGGCCATCGAACGGGAGCGAGAAAGCGAGCGGCAAGGAAAGCCGTCCGTCAAGCCCGGAGGAGAGACAGAGAGAGAGAGAGAGACTGAGAAAGGGAAAGAGAGAACCACAAGAAAGGGGCTGAATTCACTGTCCCTTGGTTGGGAAAGGGAGATGGAGAGAGAGAGAGAGAGCGAGAGAGGGAGGGCGAGGGGAGGGTGAGAGTGAGAGATATGTGTTGATGTTTATCGGCTGGGCGCTGCAAAAGAGCATCGTCACACACGAACACACGGGCTGCTTTGAAAGAGCAGATCCCGTTGATCTGTACAGCCTGTGTTTGAGATCGACTGCTCCTAAACTGATCTTCAAGATCAAAAACCGGTCTCTAGTATCCCCAGGTGCCGGACCCACTTAGGACCCACTTAGGCTTAAGCCATGAAGCTCAGGGCGGCGCCCGCGAGCGTCTTCAGTACAACCATGGCATGCTGATGCATTACCAGGATGCGGCGGGTGTTCATTCTGCTGAGTTTAAAGTCTAGCCTAGTTTGGAACTGTAGAGCTTGCGGTGGGATGCCAGTCATGCGGTTGCACTTGAACGCCTTCTCGCTTGTCGCTATAGCTGTCGCAGGTGGACCGGAAGGCACATGACACATTGGGCCAACACAGGGTTGGGGCTAGGCTTCGGTCAAGCACATTGGAGCTTTGGCACATGAGTTTCGCCGTGCAGCTGGCGCAGGAGTTACCACGGCCTACGGCAACCTGGCAAGACCAAGATCCCAGCTTGAGCATGGGGGATTGTAGTCCGAATGTCGAGGCACTAGGTCTTAAGCACACCACTTCCAGTTCTTTTTCGGCTCGGTCCCGAAGTTCGGAGCCGTTTAGATGTTCAATGATTTTTTGTGAAGGCACGTTATGAGGCGGGCAGAGTGCTTCAGGAACACATACATGGGAAACCGCTGAACCTGGAATTTCTTTGGTTTCAAGTCTGCTGGCTTTGGGACTTGATGTTCGGATTTGAATGGAAACCCCAGACAACTCCCTGCAGCACTCCGTGGGGATCAGGTCCTGCCGCCTGTGTCAAAGGTGCCAGCCGGGCCACGTCTACGCACCCTTGTATGGGCTTGTTGGTTATTTGTGGGTGGATCCTTGCTGTAGGTGCCAGGGGTTTGGGTTCTGCATGTTCTGCTTTCGGGATTCTGGGCTTCTTCGGAGCTTTAGATCGAAAGCCTTCGGACAATGTCGGACGTTTTCAATTGCGATAGGCTGACTGATGGCGAAGACACGGGACCAGCATACAGTGCCATGACTTCAACTCCTTGCACATCAATCAATACAGCTCTGTAAGACCTCGAGTGCCAAAATTCGAAACTTTGCTAAACTCTACAGGCTCACAGCCTACAGCCTTGAATCTTCAACTACGAACCCTTAAAGTTGAACCTTAAAGTTTAAGGTCTAGCACCCAACATCCTGCTGGCAGGCCACGGGATATCTGCTGACCAAGAAAGCTTGCGGGACTTGACACGCGCTTGCGGAGACCAAAACTGAGATGGGCTTGCGCTGTGGGAGCAGGGTGGCGAAAGCTTTCGGAGCAGGGTTCATGGGAAGCGATTCGCTTGTACGTCAGAAGCGCCAGAGGCTGTGTAGTTTTCATTGGTCAGAGGCAGCCATGGCGGTGATGGGTTCTTAGTAGTGGCTTGCAGAGTTGTTGCTACGAGTATGGAAAAGCATTTGTCAGAACACAGTTGCAAGTCGATTCTCTCCTCGAGTGTCATGTAATCGTGAATAATGTCCTTCCCAAAGCTTCTTGCATGCCAGTCGGCATGATGCTCTGACCGGATGCCAGTGCCATTTGCCCGAACAGCATGGTAACTTTGGCATTGCATTAGGAGAAAAATGATTGAGTTACTGGCGCAGCCCAGCCCACGCAGCTGATGCACCTACTGTGCCGTCCGGCAAATATGCGACCCAAAGAATCACGTTCTCACCACTGCACCGCACAGGTCCCGTCTGCCAATGAAGCTGCCTTCATTGCAAGCCTAACATCGCTGACTCTCCACGATTTCGTACATGACACTCTCTAAGTTTGACCTTCAAAATGATCCATCTGTTTTAAAATCTTGGCAATGCCGAATACTCTATAGACTTTCAGCGTTTGTGCAGAAGTTGACTTGGAAACCCTGCGAAACCAGTTGTACAAGTCAGTACGAGAAGCCGCTAAAGTCAGCTCTGAGCCCTCAGCCCGAAGACGTTTATCCACAAGCTCGAAAGTTCGATGCAGCTTCAGACGCAACTGCCAAACCTGGACACCCAAAACTCCAGCTGAAGCCTTCTGCAATCCCCAGGCAGAGCATGGACCGATTGTCGGCTCAAGGGAAAGTGCTCATTTGAAGGTCGTAAGTCAGGTATTTGTGGAGGGAGGTTTGAAACTATTGAAGAGATCAGGAAGGCACGACTACGAAGAAGAAGAGAGAGAGTCAGACACTGGATTATCATGTGCGGCTTCAAGGCTTCGACTTGAGCTGCTTGGCTAGGGCTTAGGTGCTTAAGTTTTCTACATTGAGACACTACGCACGCGTACAGAGCAGAACTATCACAGAACTTCTCACAGACTCATAGATGCGCTCTGCACTGAACTGCTATACTAAGCACAGTAACAACAGCAACAAAAAGAGCAGCCTGGAAGCCCTGAAACCTTGGGCAGTAAGTCGCAAAGGGCAGTTGATTTATTGTTTGGGCCTTGCACTTCATTCCCGATCTTGTTGCGTTCCTGAAGATGTGCGGGCCCCAGTTTTCCCTGAATCACACTTCCCGGCGAAATCCGGGATTGCGATTTTAGGAGTGGGCTTGCGGACGTAGGAGCATGTGACACATGATTCGAGTTTTTAAGCGTCCGTCTGCCGTCAGTGCCGCCTTGTCTGCAGGTGTGATAGAAACCGTTTTCGCACCACCACTCCGACATATCTGCGGACTGCAAACACACATTGCAAAGTCACGAAGCTGGGCTCCGTCGTGTCCGGTTGCTGACGATATTTCACCCGCCTACAACCTCATGATCATAACTCATAACCATCCATACATTTACGAGACAAAGTCAAGAATGCGAGGTAAAGACCAAGCCGAAACTGGCTGTGCTAAGCCTGCCACAACTCCCACTAGAAACACTCGAACCTCCAGGTTCAAGTCTGGCAGTCGGGGCAAGCCCAACGCGCGAGAATATCGCAAATCCTCAAGTCCCTCCTATCCTGTCTCCCACGCCTCAAACCTCGAGCAACAACGCTTCGTCGAAAATTCCCCGGCCTCCTGAAAGACTTGAATTTGAGCGTAGACGACGTACAGTCTGGCGGATCGCGGAACGTAGCCAGCAACACGTACATTTTGCCAGGCTTTGTTTATAATCTAAGGCTTGGATGGGAGTTTGGTCTATGCCCAGGTCGCGCATCGGACTACTCTTCGAAATCGACTGCGTCGAGACGAGATTCGGTGAAGTGGCAACTCGGTGCCAGTTTGTTACATGTCTTCCATTATATGAGAACTTTCTGTCTTAACACACTCTTGTTTGACAATACCCGGACGGGTGCCCTTAATCCGAAAAGGGAGTCAGTGATTGGGGAGCTAGGGATCTCAAGCACAGCGGTTTGCCTGTATGCTAAAGTCTTTGGGTCGAGCACAGCGGCTATATTTGCAAAATGGCAGAATTGGAAGCGAGATGAATCGATACGCTATGGACGACGTGGGCTGGCGGTTAACATGTACGGACTACAGGAAGTGCAGGCGTGAGCGAGAAGAGAGAACTGTGCTAAGGAGCATTCCGTTTTATTGTTGTGCAAAATGCACATCCTTCTGGCAGTTTACGGCGGACGTGTTCGCGAACGTGCATTGATTTTCGCACCACAAACTGCCACAAACCAAAGATCGCTGCTGTGTTAGCTTCACATCAAGCATGGCTGCCCTGCTTTGCAAAGCTATGTCATCATAGACAAGCGAAGAAAATGTACTCAAAACAATGCACTCATTTTCTATCTGCGGTCCTTTGAAAACGTTCCGCCTGGCCCTAGGTGCGCATTGTTGGCGATCGGCCAGAGTTGGGGAGCTGGCACCACATGCACGTTTGGGTTGCAGATCTGCCGGTCCTAGATTTGGTTGGGGCCATTGTGAATCAGTCTGCTGGAAGAGAGCATGAGTTTAGCTTTGACAGGTCCCGCACAAGTGGCCCAGGCAGTACCCATTCCGTGGGCTTTGCATTTTAACCCTGAATGATAATGCATGTGGGTCTCGGCGACGACCCAAGTTCAGCTTGGAGCCTGCAAAAACACACGCCTATTTCGGTTGTTTCCGTTGTTTCAATTATGCAAATTTCGTGGTTTTTCTTTTCAAGAATTAAGGGCTCGAATTAATTTTCAATTATGTCAAAAATTGGGGGGGGCACCAAGAATTGAAATGTTTGAAATAGCTTCTATGCTGGCTCTGATCCAGCAAACCCCCCGATTGAAATAATTGAAATCGGGGGCCATTTCATGTATTTCAAGTGTTTCAAAAATTTGGGAACTCATTATTGTGTGCATTTTTGCTGTGATTGCGAAAGTTGCTTGTGCCACTTGAGAATGCATGTTTATGTTACCGCTGCCGTTTCCTATCAAGCCAAAATAGCGAGCACTCTCCAAGAAAGACCTGTGTGCCAGGAGTTTCTTTTTCTACCGGTGTTGCAGGATAGAGGTGTTCACGTTGGCGAATGACATTGAAACTCGAGAGGACTTTGCCCTTTTTCTTCGCCAGTAGAGCTGAAGCTCTTGAGGCTGCGGGGCCGGTTGTGGCCGCTGCTTGGGAAGTCGCATCCCAGGAATTTGAACGCAAGTCCGGGATGGCCGCGAGAGTGCGAGACATATATGAGTTGCAGACAGAGGAAGCGAGGCCTCTGGTTCCCTCCGAGCTCGCACCGGCCATGCCTAAGGTGAAGCCTCCCACACCGCCAGCACCCAGGGTCAGACGAGTGACGCCTGGCAAGCCAAGTGCAACTCCTCTATTGGAGAGTAATGCGCAGTATCGCCCCGTGCTGCGTAATATCCTGATCCAAGACAGAAAAACTCCACACAACTCCAAGGAGCGTCGGTGGAGGGTATTGTCGATCAGGTCCTGTTCCCTGTGTTGCGGGGAACAGAGTCGGCGACCCTGGGGAAGGTGTGTCGCACTGGGAGGAGCTGGTAATCTATTGTAACCAGCAAGGGCTTGTCATTCATAGCCTCTCGGCTATCTCTGCAGCATCGTTTGTAGTGCAGAGTAAAGCCAGAACACGGATGGCGGACCTCGACTTTGGTGGTTGGTTTTTGGAGGCGGTCTCCAATAGGCTGGCCCCGACAGACATCGTGTGTGTGGGTTTCAACACCAGCACCACCGATGAGATTCCGCCCGCCACCATCCGCAGTATGGTGTCTTTGGCGATGGCCCCGGTGCTGGAGCCGGGTGATGCCGACAAGGTGTCGTCGAAGTCGTGGCGCGGTTGCGGGTCACGCTTTCCTTTCTGGCCGGCTTCGACACCACGCAAGTTTGTGCTCTGGGCAACTGGTTGGATACAACCTCTACAGGGTGCGACGTCACACCATGGCGGTATCACAAAGCTAAGCAGACCCTGGCGAGGCAACTGAAGCACCTGCTCAGGTTTGCATTGAAGGAGCTGATCCTGGATCAAGCCCTTCATACAGTGCATCAGAGTCAGGACCCAGGCAGCTAGCTCCTTTTGAGGCGTCGGAACTTGGAGTCGGCTAAGACCACCCCTGCGCTGTGGTCAGCTACTCACGGATCCCGCTTATCGGGAACTCACCTCTGAACCTAAAACAGAAGGACTCCACGATGTATACTCCCGGCATCAACCATGCCACTCCGCAACTATGGAGCTCTCATTACGAGGACACCGGCGCACTCGCTTCACAGCTGCAGGAATTTATAAGGAGGGCAGAGCCCTATATTAGGGTGGGCAGGGCGGGTAGAAAAAGAAACTCCTGGCACACAGGTCTTTCTTGGAGAGTGCTCGCTATTTTGGCTTGATACAAAAAACGGCAGCGGTAACATCATGCTCAAGTGGCACAAGCAACTTTCGCAATCACAGCCAGCTGGACAACATTCATGCAGTGCACTCTGTTTCTTTTTCCTTTCCATGGATGCTTCCATAGTGCGTTGGTAACATCGACACTCGAGGCCCGACACAGCTGCCCACAGCTTAAGCTGGCCAGCTACAGCTGGTACAGGGGTAGCATCAGCTAGACGACCCAAGGCACTATCCCAACACTAACCGGCCATGAAGGAGAAGATCAGGGACTTGACCGGAAATGGGAAGCGCCAAAGGAAGCAGGGGACAGCGCTGGCGTGAGTAACGAAGCCACGTTTGCGGTGCCATTCATGACGAAGGCCCTCACGGGAGATGGCATCGGCCCAGTTGCTCTTGCTAGGAACCCACTCACACCAGAGGTTGCACTTTGAGGTGTTTAAAGAGCAGGAGGTGGATGCTCCAGGCCATCACATCCAGCTCATATGGGTCGCTACTGTGATCAACGCCGTAGGGGCAGCGACATTATCAACGAACCACGTGCCACTGACGTTGAGAAAGGTAGAAGGGAAACACAGCAATCCTTGGAGAATCTTCAAGAGCTCCAGCTGTGCGATTTTAGGTCTCGTCTTGGTCCGAAAGGCAAAAGACTTCCTCGTCGATACGGGCCACAGTGCCAACCCGCTGGGGAGCCCACCTGAACCTTCTCTGTGCCCTTCCTGGGCTGCGTCACTCGCTGCCACAACTCGAAGGCGGTTGAGGGGAGGACTGGGACCTCTCGGGATGGATGAAGGGCCAGCGCTGCTTCGATGGTATCGAATGCCATCTCTAGCTCGGCTGTGAGTCGTGACTCATTCTTGGCATACTGCCGATCTTTCAAAGGGTTGAGACCGGCCCGGGCAATGCGGCCGAAGGCGCCGTAGTCTAGAAAAGCAAGACGCCCGAAAAGCTGAGAAGCGGTGCCGGGTCTGAGGAGGCCAGTAGCTCGGGCGTTGCCAATCATGTCCTGAACTTTGTCAACAAGGCGTTGCCGAACCCAGACTTTGATGTGCCCTTTTGTCTGTAGCTGAGACAGATCGTGTATCCGGCCGAGAAAATCGCCGCTGGTCTGCGGCAACTGACGCTTCGCCTCCGCGAAAGGGTAACCGAACATGCGGAAGAGTTCCTCAACCTGTTCCTGGCTGCGCTGTGCAATTGAAGAGACGTCCTGGCGCGTCACATCGTCGAAGTAACAGGACAACGGCAGGAACAACAGTCGCCTTGCGACCGACTGCATGAAGAACGGTAGTCTGTTAAACGCAGATACAGCCAAGGGTAAACCAAAAAGCATGCCATGGTATCGGCGGAACCTAGGCCCACCTAGGCTGCTTCCTGTGCGGGTCATAGTACGCAACTATGCACGCCCAACTATGATCAGGACTCAGGACGCATCGGAATCTTCCGATACGCGTGAGGCCGGTCCTCTCCAAACCAGGAGACGCTGTCAGGCCAAGACTCGAGGTTAAGTCCTCGTAAAGCAAAAGCTTTTGGCAAGCGCTTGGACATGGAGGCAAGGCTGGGTGGCGCTGCAGAATTGCAACTTGTTACCGTCGGAGCTGAACTCGCTCTGGAAACCCAAGTGCGCGTCATCAATGCATCGCTTCTTTCCTGAGGACTGAGTGATGACGAATCGTCGAATGAGCCGAAAAGGGGTACGCAGGGACAGCAACTCCTCCCAGCCCACGTGTGATGGGATTGGTAGGCCGAGACTGCCAGATATCACATGGATGTACCTGTCCGACAGCAGGGAATCCTTGCATAAGGCCTCGGCAAAAGGATGTGTCAGGCCAGGACATGCTGGCTACGAGCACCGCGAAGAGGGCAAGGTGGACTTTGGGATTGACCTTGCGCACCTCAGGGTGTTGTAACTCGCGAAGCTGGTCGGACGTATCCTGCAGACGCCGCGCCAGTTCCCGGAGAAAAGCCATGGCATCCTCCCTGATGTAACTGAAAGTGCTCAGTCCCTCGGCCATCTTCAAGTTGATGTCGGACTCGACGACAGCATCCCAGTCCAAGGGGCAACCTTGGAATTGGCAAGAAAGCGCGAGCTGGAAATGCTCATCTGGGGTTTGGCTGAAGGGGATGACCGGTGGCAACGAGCAACAGCGCGTAACTGATGTCGCTTGAGACTTGAGCCGATGTACAAGGCCTGCAACACAGGCGAGTTGACGAGATCCTCGAGGTACGGCCAGCGGACCCGGGCAACACCGGGCCCAAGCGCAATGTTGTGAACTGTGGCTATGATCGATGCCTGGGAGATGGGATAAACCACTGATGTTGGATAGCAGCCCGATGCGAAGGCGAATTTGATCTTGCGCTCGGGGAGGGCGAAGGCGGCCACCAACACGTCCCCATGGCATGCATCCGCCAGACCACAATCGCAGGCCAACTTCTTGTTGCAAAGCTCCGGCACTCTGCTGGCAACCGGGGAACGGAACAACCACTGGGAATAGGCGTAGACGGTCTGTTCGGGAGCGCCACCCCGTCCGACTTGGAAGGAGTTTTCCCAGCAAGTGACCGGTGTACTGTGGGAGAAATGGCTGTGCCCTACGAAAACAACATCATCAGGCAAGGGCTCTTTCGGCTTATGGATGTCCTTAATGCACACAAGCACTACTAACCGAAGACACCAGCCCTGAAAACGCGGCAACCAGGTCCAGACTCTCATCACACAGTGTACTGGACGTTGCACCGATCAGCCCTCTCCAATCCTAAGTAGGGGAAGCCTGTGAACACGAAAGAGTGCAAACCCCTTATCCACAGCCCAATGCGAAGCAGCAGCTACGATGGCGAGGCAAAGGCTGGGGGTGTACTCTGCTTCCTCGTTACTGGGGTACACTCGGTGATGATTGGTCGACACTGACCACTCATACTCCGAATGAAAGTGTGCACACACACACACACACACACTCCGGAACCTGAGAAAGCAACACTGCGATCTGCAGTCTCAGCACCGGCAGGAGCAGGATCGACAGGGAGAGAGCTGCGTGAGGTAGGTGCGACAGCCCGTGGCCATGTCGGCATAATCCTCGCCCGGCTTCTCCGTCAGAGGGAATCACCAACCTTGCGCTTCCTGCCTGCCCCGGCTGTGCGCTGATTCACTTCCGTGCGTACATCCCCTACATTGACCACGTCCAAAGTACGCTTCGTGACTCAGCGCTGCGCCTTTGTAATCCACTGGTCACTGGGGCTAGCCTCGGGCGGAAACACCATAGGATACCTCTTCCAGAAAACCGGACGGCAACACGTCCTCCTCATCCAAACTGACACTGACATGAGTACCGTTGCCCTCACGCTGCTGCTCAGCTTGGCGTACCGCATTCCAGGCCTGACGAAAGGGCTTTCTGAAGAGGCTTGTTAGTGAGAGCCCCCTCCACTGGCGTGAAAAACATAGCCAGCAACTCATCATCGTCCTTCACAAAGCACCTGAAATGGGACAAGGTGGTGATGCCAACCTTGAGGATCTGCTCCTTCACCTGGCCCTCGAGCTTGAACCGGCTCGCGAGCTCGTCGAAAACAGCCTCCTTAGTAGCCATGGCGCAAAAGAAGGAATCAAGAGAAACCGACGGCACGTGCTACGGAAAGGAAGGGGCTGCGAACCCTCGCACACTCACACTGCGTGCACGAGTCGAGTGATTTTACGGCCCTCCGATCCTCGGTGCCTTAATACTCCGATCATGGGCTCAACTGCCTACGACTCTCTCATCAACACCCTGCTGATCGCGTGCCTCCACCACTGGACTACGATGTGGGTGAAAAACCGCAAGAAGCTGCTGGTAGAACCTACGGCGGCTTTCAGGGGTGATGCTTTGGGCCATCGTGTAGACGGAGATCGGGAGGACTTTGGTGTATGTGGACTCATTGGGGCCATTGGGGTCTCCAGAGCATTCTGCACAGCCACGGGCAACACCGGCGTATTGAAACTGAAAGTCCAAACATCAACCCCTTGTGTAGCTGAAGGTCTGGCACCCCGACGCCCACGCTGGTAATCATAGAGACACTGATCGCATCCCCGGCTGTGTCCCACGTTGTCCCTGCACCTCCCTCAGCAATAAAAGGTGGCCACCAAAAAGGGGGAGGGGTCGAGTGTGCGCTCCTATTTGTTTCGAGTGTGCGCTCTCCGGTGCGTTTCGAAGCAGAA